TAAAAAAAAAGAAAAAATTAAAAAAAAAAAAAAAAAAACTGAGCCGCATGTGCCCTTGGTGGGGGACAAGTAGGGCCGTCAGTAGCTGGCATGTGGCAAAAAGCTGGGACACCATGTGGCCCGTGGCAGCAGCACCGGGAAGCAGGAATGGCTGTGCGTGGAAGACTATGTAGAAACAACTGCCGAGTGAAAAGATGAACACAAGGAGGACACTCCCTGACTATAACCGATAAAGTGCACAATGGGACAGCAAGAGACTAAAGGGAAGTCAGTGTGTTAGCCAACAGGGCACTTTTCCCCGTGGTGGCGTCACAGCCTCAATGGTCCAGCTTTCTTCTGCATTTCCACGTGACTTGATCTGGGCATCTGAACTCCAATCCCACCCCCCAGAGCTGGCTGCAAGGGCAGTCCCATCACTACCCCCTCTCTGAGCAAGCGCCTCGCCTCTGCACTCCAAGGTCCTGATGGCTCCGTGTAGGAGGAGCTCCCGCCACGTCTGCACACTGGCCAGCAGGTGCCTGGGAAGGTCCGTGGGTCCCACAGGGCCAGGGAGTACAGGGATGGGGAGGGTGTGGCCTGGAGCTCGGACCCCCATGTGCACAGACACCTGCATACCTGGCCCTCGGGGCCCTGCCAGGTGTGACATCCAGGTGAGGCTCCACCTAGAGTGGATTCGGAGCTGCACCCCGCACCATCCAGGCCTCGCTATAGCGCGAGGTTCCATTGTGACATCTGCCTGCGCTCCAGCTAGGCGGGGGCAAAGAGCTGACCCTCAATTTTTCACAGGTGAGCACAGTGGGAGAGCAGGAAAGTACCGACTCCGTCAGGGAGGGAGGACTCCATTCACATCTTCACCCCTCCGCAGACAAGGGCCTGGGGTCCCCGTGGCAGCTCCTGCCTCCCAGCTCAACCCTCACGCCAGCGTGATGCACCTGTTCCTGGCACTGATTCTCCTCACCCTCCCTGGATTCTGCTCCGCCCGCCACCCGTCCAGCAGGCCCTGCCTGCCCCCCCGCCCCTGCTCACTGGCCCCTCTCTCCAAGCCCCACCCCACCCACCCACCCGTGTGCCCTGGGCTCTGCGGCCAGAGCAGGGCAGGAAGAGCCTGCTGTTGGTTCCATAGTTGACTCTGAATCTGTCTGAGGGAAGATTTTCTTTCATGCATCTTATAACAGGTGAGGCATTCCCCTGGTGAGAGCCACCCTCCCTCCAGAGGACACCCAGGCAGGTCCCTGCAGCTCTCCTTCCGGGTGCTTTTAGTCCAAAGGCTGCCTGTGTGCTCTGCGCCTTGCCCCTGGCCCGCTGGCATGGTGCAGCCCACCCTCTGCAGGCCACCCCAGAAGGTGGCTCTCAAGCATAGGCATGGACAATCCCGAGAGCCCTGGGGGGAACCCAGTGGCCTCTTGGTCAGCTGGCCATGTCATTACCAAATTAAGGGTCCCAGAAGCAACCAGGGCCTCACCTTTGGAGTCAAGGGTCCACATGCACAGTCTTCTTCTAGGACCCACTTCTCACTGTTTCAGTCTCGGTCAGCCCACTGACCCCGGACTCTCCCGCGTCCAGCTCCTGCCCCCAGCCGGCGGCCTCCCAGAGCCCTCAGGGCCGGGTGCGCACAGCACCTCATGCGGGTCTCCTGTGTCCACCTCTCCTGCCAATGCCTGTCCCGGGGAAGCCCCATGGGACACGGTGGAGACGAAGGGACAGGCGCCCCCACCTCGCCACCTGCCGTGGGCCTGCCTCCAGCAGATCACAGAGAAGAACCCGCCTGCCACCTGGTGGCTCAGTTCACAACTTCTTTCCTCTGCTCCCTGGAAACAGCAAACTTCACTTCAAACGACAGTGGATCTGTCCGCTGGACAAGACTTGAGTGCACTCCACCTGACAACAACCATCAGTTCCTCCAACGTGGAGAGGGAGCCACCGAGAACGGCAGTCCGGCCAGGGCGCGACGGGTGACTGCTGGTCCCGCCTCAGGTCACCCCTGTCCTGCACACCCTCCCCGGCCTCCTGGAGGTCCTTGTCTGGTTCCTCCTTTCTTCTGACCTCTGAACCTGGCCTGGCCCCAGGTCTGTCACAGTTCTTTCTCCAGGCGTCTCAGCTGATGCCCAGACCTGACCCTTTACTCCGAGGAATCTGCACACTTGCCCAATGCTCCTCCTAAACCCCACTCGATGACTGCAGGTCCCGAAGTCTCAGCTCTGCCTGCAGGCGCCTCACAGGCAGCCCGCCCCCGGCCCCCCACCTCCTGCAGCTGCTTGGGCCCCTGCCAGTCCACCTCCACAACGCCCCAGCCCCGGCCTGGCCTGCTACAGGCCCACCCTATGAGCAGACAGCACACAGCCGTGCCAGGACGGCCTTCTCACCACGCCCAGGAAGCGGGGCTCTCAGCACCCTGTTTCACAGATGAAGAGGCTGAGGCCAACCGGCTCGGGGAACGGAGCCCAAGTCCAGCTGCCAAGGGCCTCGTCCCGAGCTTGCGCTCTGGCCTCAAAGGTCCCTCACCTCCCTTGGACAGCTCCAAAGCCCCAGGCCACACGACTCGTGCATGCTCATGGCCCTCGCGACCCGTGCGCATGCTCGCAGCCGGCACACGTGACCTGTGCACATGCTCGAAGCAGCTCCCACGAGAAAGGCAGCCCCACCGCGGAGATCCCCTCAGTCTCCTTCACGGAACAGAGAGCCACAAGTCCCAGGTCCCAGCACGTGACCCTGCAGCCACCATGCCACCCATACCCCGAGATTCTGCAACCCGCCAGGCCCATGCCAGGTAGGGAGTCCCACTGAGATGCGAGATCCCGAGACCTGCAGTCCCGCGCAGCCCCAACACACTGGCTGTGTGTACTTCAACCACAGGACACGCCAGGTGAGCAAACTAATGAGATTCTGACAGCCCCAGGTCTGGCATCCTCCCTCCACTACATCCCTGAGAGCCTCTGAGCTCTCTGTCCTCTGCCTGGTCCCCACCCTCACACCTTCCCCACCACCACCCTGCACAGGGCATCCCGCCTGCCCCGAGTACCCCGAGGACCCCATCCCGGCTCCCCGTGGGCCCTGTTCCCCCACCGCCCTGACGTGTCCCACCCTGTTCTCTGTGTCTAGCGTCTGCCCCCTGTAAGCATCAGCCCTCAAGCCCGGGCCTTTTCCGGGCCCTCAGCAGGTACCTGGGAAAAGATGAGACCCCATGGGAGGGCGCTGTCACTCGGGGTCCTGGCAGGTCCCACTCGGCCCTGGGAGCCGGGCTGGGGGACCTGCCGACGCTCCCTGACACTGCTCCAGGACCAGGCGTCGGCACAGACCCCGAAGATCCAGACGCAGGTACTGACTGCGTGCGGGTGGGGCGCCACACTGCTGGTCACCCCAGCTCCCCTGAGCAAGAAGGTGGCCATCTCAGGACCTGCCTCCCCAGGGCTGTAGACAGTCAAGATGACCCATGACACAGTGCACGCAACCCTCAAGCCAGGTTCCAAGAACCATGGGGCAAAAGCTCGTCACTGAGGACAAGGCGGCCAGAGGAACTCAGGGACACACAGGGAGGGCAGAGGCAGGGAGTGACCACAGCCCTGCTCTGGGCGGACAACAGCGAGGTCAGGGCTCTGGGCCAGCAAAACCATAAAGGCACGTGCCCTGTCCACGCACACTGGCGCTCCTTCATGTCGCGTCACAAGAACTTCCAGACACATGGAGAGCAAATGGCCGCGTGTGCCCAGCACCAGCCCTGCAGTCCACACAGCCAGGCGGCTCTGCGCACCCGCCGCGAGCTGAGGCCCTCCCCACTCCTTACAGTTACTGCCTCCCGCCAGGCCTAGTCTAACTGGTCTTGTGACCCGCTGTGACCACCCCCATGACTGACCATCTGCCTTTCACCACAGGGGACGCTGGCTGGAGGCCGCCTTGCACCACAGGCCCAGGCAGGGCAGCCAGGCTCCTCCAGGCCACCCGCAGCCCTCCCAGCTGTACAGTCTTGTTGCCCGGCAGCCCCACACTGTGGCCCTCTGAGGCCCTACCGACCCAGGGTGCTAGCTCAGGGCTGCATGCTCCTCAACTCAAACACTGCAAACTTCCCTAGTGTGGTCAGCCACGAGCAGGCATCACAGCCCTCTCCTCCACAGCACGTCACCAAGCGGGCCCCTCGACTGCTCCCACCGTGTGCGAAGCCAGGACTGCACCAGCAAGGCAGCAAACGCCAGCCTCCCCGCACACACCCCACAGGCCCCAGGCACCTACTTGGAGAAGATGACCATCAGCTTCCTCCTGCTCCTCCGCGGCTCCGCGTCCTCCTCAAACCCATCGGTGTCCTTCCCCAGGAAGACCTCCTGGTGGAAGTCCTTGTTGAGATGCCCATCCATCTCCAGCTTCACCCCGTTCAGGTGGTCCGGGGGCAGGATCTCATTCTCCTCCCTGGTGCCCGCTTTCTCCCGAGCAGAGGAGTGGTTGGCAGGCCGGGCGGACGCGTCCATCAGAAGGATGACTCCTAGGAGCCAGAGGCAGCGAGGAGCCAGGCTGCAGAGCAGAGCCTGCCTGGACGCCATGGCCATGCAGGATGGTCTGCAAGTGTGGCCAGGAGCTGAAGAGAGAGGGGAGGGGCGGGTGAGGAAGTGAGGCCAAGAATGTGATCACAACCCCCCGCCACCCCAGGCCCTGCATAAGGCTCTGTGCCCAGCACAGCTGCAGGCCAACAGCCCACGGCTGCCAGACCCCAATGAGCAGTTAATGGTCTACAAAGAGGACACAGAGCCATCATCTGCTAGAGCCCAGCAAATACTTCACTAAAGAGACGTTCACTTTGTAACATAAGACAGATGTCCTTGGTTTACAGAATCCATACTAGGCATGGTATTCTTTCCTTTTTCAAAGACATGGGTTTCCAGCTCCTGTCTTACCTACTCAGGTAAAATGGCCCCATCTCAAGGGCTGTCCAGCACCACAAAATCTGCCCCTTCTTGATGTGCACAGCACGGTCTGTCTCTGACTCTCCTGGCATTGAGGCTGACCCCAGAGTCATGGTAACTCACTCCCCAGAACCCAACTCAGCACTGGTGAGCTATGTGACCTTGGCTAAGTCACCTGACCTCCCCAGCCTCAGTTTCCCTCTATGAAACAGGAAGCCCCCAACAGCCCCAGGGCTTTTCAAGGACTGGGCCTGGTGCCAGCAAACACCCAAGCCCACCCAGTAGGGCACTGGCCCCCTCCCACCTTCCCATCTCAACAACCTCTGTGGGCACAAACACACGCACACACACAAGCACACACATACACATACCAGCACACGCACACACTTACACGCATGCACCACAGAACAACATTTCGGTCAACGATGGACTGCATACACGACGCTGGTCCCATAAGATCAGTACCGCACGGCCCAGGAGTATGCTGGGCTGTACCACCTAGGTTTGTGTGGACACTCTGTGACATGTGCACAAAGACGACATCACCTAACGACGCATTTCTCAGAACGTGTCCCCCTCGTTAGGCAACGCATGACTGCACATGCACATGCATACCTGCACGTGTGCGCGCACACACACGTGCACATACATAAGTACACAGGCACGCACGTGCACCCACATACACAGGCATACACGCGCACACACGCATTCTTGCTCACGTTCACGCAGGAACAGCGAGAAGGCCGGAGCGCCCTGTTATTCTGGGTGTGCCTGAGCCTGGCAGTGAAGGAACGAGGCCAACCCTCTGTCCATGTTGCCACATCAGGGATCCCAGGGCCACAGGTGCTCACGCCTGGCACTCGGCCATCCCAGCCTTCCCTCACACCCCAGGATCCTACCCCAGGTCTCCTCCAAGCCAGGAACAGGGCCCAGCTCCCTCCCCATCTCCCCACTTGGCTGTTCAAGGACCTGCATGCTTCAGGATCCCAAAGGGAACTCTAGCTTTATCCCGCCCCTTAACCTGTTCCTCTCATACCCTGCTCACCTGGCAAACACCTGCTGGTCCTTCCAGGGGCATCTGAGACCCACCTCCCCCACCCCTTGCAGTCCTTCCAGGAAGGAGCCGCAGAGGAAGGCACACTCACCCCGGGTTAGGGTGCCGTTTGCAGCCAAGCTGGGGCACGAGGTTCAGAAATCATGGTGTCCTCCATGGGGCAGAGCAGATTCCCGTGCTGGCTGACAGCATGGCCGCCACACCACAGCCTGAGGGCGCATGGGGCTGAGGCCAGGTAAGGGGGCTCTCCCTGGCTACTCTGGCAACACTGGCAGATGCCACCGCTTGCTTCTCTGATGCCTCCCTTCTACCCTACCTGCTCCTAACCGTCATCCTTCTCCTGATGGGTTCCCCTGGACCCATGCACTATCTGGGCCTTCCACGAGATCTTGCTCTCTGAACTCACCTGCCTCATTCCCCTGAGGGAGTAACCGTCCCTGGGCAGCTCTACATCCCTCCTTCCAGGTCTGTGGAGGCCTGCGTCCCCCACACCCACTAGAGCCCACCGGCTGCCCCGACGTGCTGTGCTGTAACTGTCCCCTGAACCACGTTTCCTGGAGCTCCTGTCTGTCACCTTCAAGGGCCCATAGTCCCAGCACCTGTCACACTGCCTGCACACAGTGGCCACTCAGCAGAGCTGAGTGAACAAACGTGGGTGTTTCTGCCACACCACGGTGCGTGTGTTCCAGAAGTTGTCAGGGTCCTGCAGACACACACTAAACACATGGGGCCTAGGGGACAACAAACGGCAGAGGACTCTACAAGTGGAGCTCGGGACCACATCAGGAAGTGGCGCCTGGGACGGCGACGACTCGACAGCCCCGGCAAGCAGCTTGGGCGTCAGGCTGAGTGGAAATGCTACGTGCTGGCGCCGAGGTGATGCCAGCAGGGCTGCCGTGAAGGCGGGCCCAGGAGGAAGTGCAGCCAAGGGTTGTCACCTGCAGTCACCAAGGCAGGAGCCCTGGACACAGGTGCTCACGTCTGGCTGTCTTCCCTGGCAGAAGGCGTTTTCCTTCTCTGCTGGACTGTAATTCTGTTCCTGCCGCCCCAGCTCTTCCCACCAGAAAAGCGTGCAAACCAAGGCAACTCCTCCTGCTGTTAACATCCCACTGACCATGGTAACAACACCCACTGACCGTGGTAACAACACCCCACTGACTGTGGCCATGAAAACACGTGTCCAAATGGACTGTACTCCGGTCTCAGAAGAAGTCTACTCTGATTCACTTACGTTGATAGGAAGTACACTGAATGTTGTTTACACGACGTTTTGCACAAAAAGTAACACAGAAACAGCCATGTAGAGATCAGGCGGCCCCTGGAACGTCCTCCCGCCGCTCACAGCATTCACTTATCCCGCGAACGTCGGCCCCTGCTCACGCTCACCCTCTGCCCCCAGCAGCGGGCTTCGCCTTGTAGACAGGACCGTCCCCGGAGGCTCAGCCCCGGAAGGAACCAGCAGAGCCTTGGGGCGGACGGAAGTGGACACACGCAGGGCTCCTGGCGTCCCGGCGTCTGTTCCGGGGAAACCGGATTCCCGTCGTTACAGACGCTCCCTCGGCAGCTCTGCCGCGGCTTTAGGAGTCACGCTGACGGCGCGATGACAACTACCACCGGCTGTCCGGACTATCAAGGATTTACACACACAATCCCAAACGTCCACCAACACTGCGAACCGGGGTCACGGCCCCCCCTTCAAGGACGGGGAGGGCCAGGTCACCGCGCCGTAACCTCCGGGCCCGCCCGACCCTGGACAGCCGTCCCTCGGCCTGTCTGGCGGCGGCGTCCATGGGTCCGGGTGGAGGACGCGAGGCCGGGAGGCGGGTCTGCAACCGCCCCAAGCCCCCTCCCAACACCCGGGCCGGTCACTCCCCGATGGCGGGCGGACCAGCCACGCCGACCCCGGGCCCTCACTCACCGGCCGCCCTCCCCTCGCCCAGGATCCGCCGAGCGCCCGTGACGCCTCCAAAGGGCTGGCTAGGCCGCTGCCATCTTTTTTCCGGGAAGGGGGGGGGGGGCCCACGGGGCGGCGCAACATCGCCGGGAGGACGCCGGCGCCGCCATCTTCCCTCCGGGCGGAAGCGGCCGCGTGCCGGCCCCCCCCCACCCCCGGGCGCCGAATGAGAAGCACGCGCGGGTCCACGTGACCCCCCCCCCAAGGGCGCCCAGTGAGAAGCGCACGGGGAGCCACGAGACCTCAGGCCGGCCAGCCGCGGCGCCGCCGGCGCCGGAGCCCCGGGCGC